AGGAGAAAGGTGGTGTGGGATAGCTTGGCTCGATTAAAGCTGGTATACAATAAACCTTGGTGCTTGGGAGGGGACTTCAATGAGATCATGAGTATATTAGAAAGGAAGGGGTGTTCTAGGCGAGATAAAGGTATGAGGGAGTTTAATGAGTTAATTGATAATCTTGAAGTGGCCGATTTACCAATGATGGGAAGAAAATTTACTTGGTGCAATTCTCAGGAGGGGGAGAAGTGGAGTCGAATTGACAGGTTCTTGCTTAGTCCAGAATGGCTACAAATGTTTAATTTTAAACTTTGGGGGCTGCCTCGGAAGGTCTCAGATCACTGTCCTATTCTGTTGATGGAGGATGAGAGAGATTGGGGCCCAACTCCTTTTCGATTTCTAAATGCTTGGACCCTACATCCTAAATTCAGATCTTTTGTGGAAAATACGTGGTTAGAAGCTAATGTGGTGGGTTGGGCTGGTTTCAAATGTCTTCAGAAGCTCAAAATACTAAAACTGGCATTGAAGCAGTGGGCTAAAGAAGTCTTTGGTGATGTGGAGCATAAACTTAATCAAGTTGAAGAGGAGATTCATGCACTTGATATAAGTGCTGAAGAAAGACCATTATCTATGGCAGAGCAAGCTAGAAGAAGAGAGGCTAAAGGCGTGGCTTGGAAACTAAGTAAAATGGTGGAATGGGCATGGATACAAAAATCCAGAATCAAGTGGTCAACATAAGGGGATAGGAACACAAAATTTTTCCACATTATGGCTAGCTCTAGGAGAGTCAGAAATTCTCTGTGCTCAATAGCAGTCAATGGAACTGTTAAGGAGGATCCTGTGGAGGTGAGGGCTGCAGTTCAACAGCATTTTATTAACCAATTTACTGAACCATGGCGTAATAGACCAAGGCTATCTGGGCCTTTCGTATCCATTGGGGATAGAGAAGCTGTTGAGCTCTTGGAAGCTGAGTTTTCAGAAAATGAGATTGTAGTTCCAGTTAAGAGTTGTGAAGGAAACAAAGCACCTGGACCTGATGGGTTTAATCTTATGATGTTTAAAAAGTATTGGAAGGAAATCAAGGTAGATGTGCTGCAATTCATGCAGGAATTCCATCAAAATACAAAATTGGTCAAAGGTATTAATAGCTCTTTTGTTGCTTTGATTGCGAAGAATGAGAACCCCTCTGGTTTGAATGATTACCGGCCTATTAGTCTCATTGGCTCTTTGTATAAAATTTTGGCAAAAGTATTAGCTAATAGAATTAAAACTGTGCGGTCTAGAATTATTAGTGTTGCACAATCAGCATTCATTGGGGGCAGAAACATCTTAGATGGGGTGTTGATAGCCAATGAGATTGTGGATGGATGGAAGAAGAATAGAAAGAGTGGCATTGTCCTAAAGTTAGACTTTGAAAGAGCTTATGACTCAATCAATTGGAATTTCTTATTTACTATGCTTTCAAATTTTGGCTTTGGGGTTAAATGGATTAGTTGGATGAGGGAATGTGTCCCATCAGCCAGAGTTTCTATTTTAGTAAATGGTTCGCCAACCTCAGAATTTAGCCCGCAAAGGGGTCTTAGACAAGGTGACCCTCTATCCCCCTTCCTTTTTAACATTGTGGCTGAGGGCCTGAATATCCTGCTGGAAAGAGCAAAACAGTTGGGGTTGATCAAAGGGGCAGCAGTTGGTTCAAGTGCTTTTAGGATCTCCCATCTGCAATTCGCAGATGACACAATTCTATTCTGTGAAGCTCATTGGGGGGAGGTTAATAACTTAAAGAGGATATTGAGATGTTTTGAAGTGTTGTCAGGACTAAAAATTAACTACCACAAGAGTGTGGTGTGTGGAGTTGGGTTAACAAATAAAGCATCCAAGGAATTTGCTAATAAGTTCAATTGTCTTCATCAAAGTTTGCCCCTAAAGTACTTAGGACTCCCTCTAGGTGCAAACCCAAGGAGAAAAAGGACTTGGTAGCCAGTGTTAGCCAAATGCAAACTAAGACTTGCCTCTTGGAAGAGAAGATTCCTCTCTTTTGCGGGTAGGGTGACTTTGATTAAATCTATGTTGTCTAGCTTACCTATTTATTATTTATCTTTGTTCAAAATGCCAGCAGGGGTTGCTAAGGAATTTGTGTCAATTCAATCCAATTTTCTATGGGGTGGGGATGGCTTCAGTAGGAAAATACATTTGGTCAAATGGAAGAAGATTTCTAAAAGCAAACAACAGGGGGGTCTAGGGGTTAAAAGGATTAGACTTATGAATGATTGCCTTTTATTGAAATGGTGGTGGAGGTTTGGAGCTAAACCTAATGCTATGTGGAAACAGGTGATAGATAACAAATACAATCAGGTGGGTGTAGGGTGGTGTCCAGAACCTGTTGATAACCCCAGGATCTCATGCATATGGGCTGACATTTTGGGTGTTGCTAGAACCAGACCTGATCTGGTGGAATTCTTTAAAGAAAACTCTGCTCCAGTGATTGGGGATGGGAAAAACACTCTGTTCTGGAGAGGTACATGGTGTAATAATGTGTGCTTGATGGAAGTTTTCCCTAGGCTCTATTCCTTGTCTTTGGAAAAGTTTGATTCTGTGAATGTGATGCATATCAGAAGAAATAGTGAGGTGGAGTGGAACCTCAATTTTAGAAGATCACTTTTTCAATGGGATGTGGAGGATTTGAATAGGTTGAAATTGCTGCTGAGTAATGCTCCAGTCCTTAGGGAAAATATGGCTGATGCTTTGCATTGGAAAGCAGACCCATCAGGATACTTCACTGTGTCCTCTGCTTATAAGTGGTGCGATAACTCTTTAGGTACAATGTGTAAGGTTTCAGATCTGTTATGGAACGATGTTTCTTCACCTAGAGCTCAATTCTTTGGTTGGTTGGCATAGAAGGGAAGGCTAAAGACTTCCAGCTTTTTGCAACGAATTAGAGTGCTCTCTGATGAGGCTAATGTGAGTTGCATTTTCTGCAATAAGGAAGTGGAGAGTGTAAATCATGTGCTTCTTCTTTGCCCTTTTGTTTGGAAGGTTTGGTCACATATGCTAAAATGGTGGGGATTGCAGTGGGTTCAACCTGATACTGTGAACTGTTTATTAGATTGGTGGGCTGGTACAAGGCTGAAAAAACAAGAGAGGGTGTTCTAGAAAGCCATGCCTCTGGCTGTGCTTTGGCCCATCTGGAAATTAAGAAATGATTGTATCTTTAATGGCATTCATCCAAATTTTTAGGAGCTGTGTGAGGTCATTAAAGTGCGAGTTGCGATGTGGAGCAAAGATGCTAGCTCTTTCTGCTCAGGTTATTCAATAACTGATATTGTGAATAATCTACAGCAGGTAAGGTTCTGCATTAGGGGTGTTGGCTGAGGCATTAGGGGTTCTGGAAAGCCATGCCTGGTTTGCATTGGAAAATGGTTTGCATTGGTGTGAGGTCTGCTGATCTGGACTAGTTCTAATTCCATGATTCTTGGAGAGTGGTCTGAATCTCTGGAATGTGGTTTGCATTGGTGTGAGAGTGGAGGGTGGTCTGCATCAATTTGACCTTGATTTCTTTGGAATATGGTTTGCTTTGGTGAGAGGTCTGCTGGGAGATCAGTGTGAGGCTTGTTACTGGGAGGTTTACTGGGAGGTGGGAACTGTTTGCTCTGGAATCTATTGGATAGTAGGGCAGCTGGTTCTGATCTGGTTATGATCTGTTTGCTCTGCTTAGGTAGGGGTAGTAACTGTTTGCTCTGTATTGCTATGATGTTGCTATTTCATATCAGTTTGGGGCTATTTTGGCACTGGTTATGCTCCTGTTGGTGTAAAGAGTACATAGTGTCCCTTGTTTGAAGTCTGTGTGTGAAGGCAGCATCAAACAGCAAATGGTCACTGCCAGTAATTGATCAGAACTTATACTACATGGGGTTGAAGAACAAATCAACAACATTTGTATCTACAGTTGTCAATGTCCTCCCTGCCCTTACCTTTATCATGGCAATGATTTTCAGGGCTGCTGTAGTTCAAGGCAATGTGTTTGGTATGACTGTTGGGCTATTGTAATTCAGGGTAATGTAGCTCAAGGCAAATCTGATTTGCCTGTTCTGTTTTGGTGCTTGAAGGGCTGCTCTGATCTCTGATCTGTTTTGATCTATTTTGCTGCTGTGTTGGTTTAAACAAATCTGATTTGCTTGTTCTGATTGGTGACTAATGGAGTGTTGTATTGTCTGTTCTGGTTTTAGGTGTTGTAGTACCTTATTTTTCTGGTTTTTCTGGTGTTTTGCTCTATTTGTTTTGCTCGTTGGTTTCTCACCAACTGGGAGGTTGGAGCTTGTTTTAGTTTCAAGCTCCTCTTTATTGATGTAATTTTTCATATAATTCATCAATAAAGTCTCCTTTTTGCCGATCCAAAAAAAGAAAAGTTCATTGAGAACTTAGAAATTTTGTTCTAGTGTCGACACTAGGCTCCTTGAGGGTCGACATCTGCTGTTCTTCTCTCTTTTCTTGTTTGGTTCTGCTTCTGGGGTCAACACCAATCTTATTGGTGTCGACACTGCCTTGCTGCTTTGCTTTTGGTTTGTTATTGCTTTTTGGAGTCGACACCACTAGTTCTAGGGTCGACACCCTATCTGCTGCAAACAATAGTGTTTCAACACTGCTTCTTGGGGTCGACACCATTGCTCTGGGTGTCTTCACCTGCGAGTAATTTTCATATTTTTAGGTCACTGTTTGGGCCTTACTTTTTGGGATTGACTTATTCTTTTAGGTTGACTTTGGGAATTTATTTCACTTTAACCTAGTACTATAAATAGGGTCCTCACTTACTCATTTATTCACTTTATCTTTTCTTTTCTCTGTTTTTCTCCTCTACTTTGTAGAACTCTCTCTCTCTCTCTCTCTCTCTCTCTCTGAACTCAAGCTTTTAACACACGATCTTCAGATCTACTCACTTAAAAACATCTTCTTACCTTGGTCCTTTGAGAAAGATTATAGATCTCGTCAAGGGCTTCATTTTGATCTAAGAAATTCGTGGTTTTGTTGCCATTAAGTTTTTCAGGTTCTCCTTTTCACTTCAAGATGTAGGGATTTCCTTATTTCTCTTCAATACCTTGCTATAGATAGACTTGTTGGTATTCTCCTATTGCATAAAATTATGATTTTGAGAAGAGATTTTCAAAAGGCATATAATGTAAGTTAGGGTTTAGAATCCAAATAGCAAATCTTATTTTTAATGTTGATTTTAAGAACCTGAGATTAATGGAACATGATTTTGATGGTTTGAACAAAAAATCCCTAATTGTTGGTTAATTTAAAAAATTTTGGAGGAATAAGCTTATGGTTGATTCATGATTTATTGAACTAATTTAATTAATGTAAAGGAAAAATACATCTAAGAAGATTTTTATGAAATGGAGTTGTGCAATAAAAGTTAGTGAATTAAATTAGTAAATAAACAAATGACATGTTCAAAGAGATTAAATCAAAAGTTCTAATTTTAATTATTTGATAATGTTGAACAATACAACCTTGATGTTTCTTTTGAGTTATACGAATTCTTTTGTAAGTAAAGAATGTGACCTAGAAGAGATGGAAACTCGAGTTTTGTTAGGAGTCGGAGATCTATGGAAATTAGTTATGGGAGTTGTGTGTTGTTTTGATTGTTGGAGTATAATCAAGATTGTGTTAATGATATTTCAAGTGTGGAACGTTATGAAAATTGTTTGCTTTATTCGGGAACTATAGGTTGTTGATTGTTA